CAGTCATCAAGTCCGGTTCCAAAAGGGTTTAGGGCATCATGTAGGGCATATATGGAGAGTTCAAACTTAAGAGCCTCGGGCTCTTCAGGGTTTCGTCATCTTTGGGTTCACGATTCCGAGCTTGTCTGGGCCTGTGTGTTTGCCATGCCGGCCATGCACTTTATAACGATATCCAAACGAATGAACCCGTTAATCCCATTCCTCGATCTCCGACACCCGGATCCACAACCGCTCGCACCACTGTTAGTTGAACATGCCTGCTGCTACTATATCATCATGTCATTCATGTACCATTATTGTTCATACTACTGCTATTGTCCTATTTCTTACTATTGTTGCTCAGATTACTTCTTTAGTATAACTCGTACGTTTCACTATTCAACAACCTATTAAGAATCAGCTTTCACGATCATCAAACTAAACCCTAAACCCTAAAACCAAGCCGACTGCAGGGTGGCCTGGAGCTCCGCCAAGGCGCCGGCGGCCGCGGAGCTCTGGGCGAAAGTACCTCCCGAGCTGGCTGCCTCGCAGAAGACATGGAGGAATAGAGGGTTTTAGCTTTAGGGTTGGGGCCAATAGGGTTTAGGGCTTAGAAGCTTAGAGGTGTAGGGCTTAGAAGGTTTAGGAGTTTAGGGCTTAGAGGTGTTTTAGGCTTAGTGCTTAGAGGCTTAGAGGGTTTTTAGGGTTAGGGCTGCGGGCTTAGAGGGTTTTTAGGGTTAGAGTTTAGGGCTTTAGGGCTTGGAGGGTTTAGGAGTTTAGGGTATAGTTTTGAGGGAGGAAAGTAGGCTAGTAGGGTTTCGGGTTTTGCGGCTTTGGTGGAGTCACAGCTTGAGCTGGCAGCCTCGCAGAAGAGAGGACGAACAATAGGGTGGAGGATGGTTAGGGCTTAGGATGGGTTTAGTTTAGGTTTTAGGAGTTTAGGGTTTAGGGCTTTAGGTGTTCGGGTTTAATCAGGGTTGAGGGTGGAGGGGGCAGAAGAAGCGCAGAGGAGGGGCGGAAGTAGGGTTTGGATGGCTTAGGCTTTTGGAGTTTAGGACTTCGGGGTTTGGGGTTCACGGGTGTATGGCTTGGAGTTTAAGGCTTTCGGGGCTTAGGGTTGGGCAGCAGTAAGAGGGAGCCATGGAATGCTTAGGGGGTAGGGTATGTTGCAACCCCCCAAAGAACCGGCCTGGGTTTATAGAAGTCTGAGACCAGAACTTGCAAAATTCTTCTCGAGGGTCTCATATCATAATCGCGATGTACCCAAACGCTCCATTCCATCGTCTTTCTGGAGCGAAACGTACTAGTAGGGCTCTGAGGCGGTTTCAAACAAGGGTTGGGGGGTCAGAGGCTTTCTGGTTGTTTCAGAAAAGGCTTGAGGGGGCAGAGGAAAAGAACGCAGCAAGACTTGTGGAGATTAGGGTTGGTAGGGTTTAGGGTTTAGCCTCAATCAGATTCTAACTGCCTATCATTTGCGTGCATATGCCTCTCCTTGAGGGTACAAGGAGGGTATTTACTGTTTACTTCAACCGTAAACTTGAGGTCTTGACCCTTTCTCTGAAAGCCTGAAATCTCGACCCAACAGTTGTTCAATCCTCAATGTCGACGTGAGTTCATAAAACTTATAAAGCTTAAACCTCAACTGGACACCAAAAGTATGTAAGATAATTGCCTTTTACAGGTGTTGGGCCATTGTTCTACCCACTTTTTGTGTTTAGGTAAGTCTGAGTCCGCGAGAGAGAGAGAGAGAGGTAGGTAGGTCTTAAACCGAAAGTAATCTTGAAGACTTTAAGTGCCCGCAAGGTCACGCTGCTGCCAAAGATCGGGATTGCCAGCCTCGTGTTGGCGATCCTTGCAGCAGTGACGGCCTCAGTTCCCGAACCGTTTATGAACCGTCCAGATTCTGGGGTTTGGTGTTATTTATGGTATTTACCTATAGTCTCCATTGTAGTTCCTTTTTTTGGTTTAACCAATTCTATGTTAGGGATTTTATGAGGTACCCCCAAAAAGGAACTACAATGGAGACTACAGGTAGGGGATTTAGGCTATGAAGGGTCCCGTCCTTCAACTTCCTCGACCTCGCCCAGCAGAAGAATAGTGGGATACAGGCTCTTCAGCCCTCTTGATCACTCTCGCGGATCCCCTCTAGTTTTTGTTGTTTGAGCTTAGCTATGTCGTGGTACCCTTTCTCGGTGACCTCAGCTTCTCATTCTCGGACCCCAGCCATAACCTAGGTTATCCAAAACAGCTATTGCATTCTACCTATAGTCTCCATTGTAGTTCCTGTTCAGGGTGACCTTATAGGATCCGAAGTGTTGGCTAAACCGAAAAGGAACTCTAATGGAGACTAAGGTTGGGTTAGGGCCTAAATACCCTAGACCCCCTGTTGCCCTAACACCTTCTAGAAAAGCCTAAACCCTAAACCCGCCCTAAAGGAAAACCGAAGGGTCCAGGTATGCTTCCGCGAACTGCTCCAACTCCTTTCGGGGATGGTACCTTGGGGAGCCAAGTGATGTTTCCCTTGTCTCTCTATGGGGCTTTTGGGTGTAGGGTTTAGAAACCCTAAAACCCTAAACCCTAAACCGTGGTTTAGGGTTTAGGGCTACGGATCTCCTTTGAGGCGACCTATTCATGGATACTGCTGGGCCCCCTAAGACTGCAACACAGCGGAAGCTGTGTAAATTGTCTGAGTGACGGAGTTTGGGAAGCCATGAAAGTCTAAACCTTAACCGTCTTAACCTTAAACCCTAAACCTTAACCGTCTTAACCTTAAACCCTAAACCCTAAACCCTAAACCCTAAACCTTAACCGCCTTAACCTTAAACCTGCTGGGTGAGGTCGCCGCCGTGGTGGTTCACTTCGCACCTCAGGCACCGGTGTAGTTTCTATCGTGTGGTTTAGGGTTTAGGGATGTAGTTTCTATCTGTTGCTTTAGGGTTTAGGGCTTAGGGTTGTGCATGACAAGGGCGAGAGTTGAACACACATTTAGCAAGGCTTCTCAAGGCTTTGCATGTTTCTTTCAACATTTGTTTAAGGTTTGTGTTATGGCTCGGTGTCGGGTTCTAGAGCTTATGGTTTCCATTGCGTTTGGAAGGTGTGTCACGTAAACTTACAACCGTAATTAAACCCTTTGTGCAATCACAGCATGCTGGTTGTCAAGATGCAGGGCCATCGATGTGTTCAGGGTTACTCGCCCTTGAAGAGGTCCGCAACAAGATGTCTAAACGCTAAACCCTAAGGCCCTAAGCCCTAAACAGCCCTAAACCTATACTCTGAACCCTAAACTCTAAACCCTGAGCCCTAACCCTAAGCCTATAGTAAGGGCTCAACCCTAAACCTATAGTATGATCTCAACCTTAAACCTAAAGTGAGAACTGAACCCTAAACCTATAGTAAGGTCCCACTGCTAAACCCTAAACCCTAAACCCCTAAACCCTAAAACCTAAACCCAAAACCATCCTGCAGGAAGAGGAGTTGATGGTCGAGGTCGAAGAAGCCGCAGAGTCCGAGTGCCCACTGTCCAAAGGCTCACGGAGGGCTGTCGGGTTTAGTGTGTATAGGGTTTAGGGGTTTAGGGTTTAGGGTTTGATGCAAAAAAGGGTTTAGGGTTTAGGATTGAGGGTTTAAGGCTTCGCAAACAGGGTCTCGCGCCTAGGGTTGAGTTGGTGTTTCTTGTTTCGGATGAAGGGTTACTGATTGCATACCCATAGGCCCCATAGTAGTTCCTTTTCGGGATTACCTTATAATATAGGATTCTAAATATGAACCCTAAAAAGGAACTACTATGGGGCCTATGGGTAGGTAAAGCATCCGAGGAGCACTTTAGCACTACAAACCCTAAACTCTAAACTTAAACCCTAAACCCTAAGCTCTAAACCCTAAACCCTAAACCCCTACTTCCAGACCGACCGGAAGCCATCCATCCGACAGCCTCAAGTGATTGGATCGGGGTCGACTTTGCCCTAGAAAGCCTACCTTTTCGAGACTTCAAAAACAAGTCCTAATAAGCAATATAGAAGCACGAATCATTGCCAATACCATCTTGGTGTTTTTTTATTATGGTTACAGTATAATGGGCGCCGAAGCCCTATTCTATAGTTATTAAGGCCAGTACGGTAGGAAGTTTGTGGTAGGATTGGGTGTTCTGGAATGTCGGCCTGGCCGGCTTGACGCCAGGAAGAGTTGGTAGCGACTGCTTTTCCTATCGGTTCCTTATCCATAACTACTATGTACCGTTTCGGGGCTCTTAGTTGAAGGTAGCCAGTCTTCGCAAAGTGGGCTGCCCAGACTCCGGCTAGTTTTTCGGATCTTGCAACATATCTGTTCTTTTGTACTTTCCTTTGGTTAGAACTTTATTTAACCCACTGAATTACCAAGCATGGTCAGCGCTAAATCCTCAAACCTACAAGCGAGGAATCCCAAACTAGAATGATGGAACGAAGCACCCTGTGAGCCAGCGTGCGAATTTGCTAAAGGGCCATGTACGCACATAGCTAACTAATGTGTACACTGGCCCGAGGGAAACATACCACACCCCTTGAGAAGGTTTTGAGTATACGCTCCATGGGAACATGGATCGGGTAAAACCCTACCGCAAACACACGAACATCACCCCGAAAGGAACCCCTGTAACTTTTGGCAGGGGCCTCGAACGATTAGTTTTTGGGTTTCCGGTAGTACGATAGTACGAGTATAATACATTAAGGGGCCCTAGCATATTTTATCAGGACCTAAGCCCTAAACACTCTTAAACACTAAGCCCACATCCTAGGTCCTATTCCCTAAGCCGCAACCCCCCCAAACCCTAAACTCTAAGCCTTAAGCCTCTGTCGTGATGAGCCACATGAAGCTTTACATGAAGGATCCGCTGTCCTTTGACTATGCACCCTGCATTGCGGGCTTTATCCTAGCCAGGTGGGAGCACAAACAAGCCCTAAGCCCCAAACCCCCCAAACCCCCCAAACCCTAAATGCAAAGCCCTAAACCCCAAACTCTAAACCCTAAGCCCTAAGCCCTATACCCCAAGCCCTAAACCCCAAACCCAAACTCTAAGCCCTAAACCCCAAGCCCCAAGCCCTAGTAAGCCCCAAGCCCCAACCACCAAAGAGCAGGCGACTGGTCCCACTGGTCCGAATGCTCCGCCACCTGCTCCTGGGTTCAGGAGCACCATTCTCTAACACGGTTTATTGAGGTTTAGGGTTTATAATAAGGTTTACGGTTTCAGAGGGTTTAGGGTTTAACAGGGTTTTAGGTTTAGAGCCGTTCTGAAAGAATCGTTCATTCGCGTTGTCTTCTTCGCTACTTCAAAGCCGAGGCTCGGGCTCCCAACGCCGCGTCCGGACAAGTTGGCGGTGCTGGGAGGCTCCGAATGCCAGGAGTTTAGGGGTTTAGGGTTTNNGGGGTTTAGGGTTTAGGCTGAAGAGGCACTTTAGAGAGACTTCGTTCAAAAGGATGAAGGGCTCTTAGTCTGTAGTAATATTAAGAATAACAATAGAATAACAGTCGAATGCCAGGAGTTCGGAAGGGCTCTTAGTCTTCAGTAATAGTAAGAATAACAATAGAATAGCAGTAGCAACAATACCAATCATGAGTCTCAAGAGTAGTGGTGTAACAAGAAGAATACTACAACTAATGTTAATAGCGATCTAACATATCAGAAAGATATAGCAACGCTAATAGCAAGACTTGTCATAATAATCGTAGAAGGGTTCCATTGCCGCAGGGCAACAGTTCGCCGCACTACCTGGAACCCTAAACCCTAAACCCTAAACCGAACTTAGCATGTCAGACACTGGCACCCCGTTTTCCCCGGTAGACTCCTCGCAGAAGCTCCCGAAAGGCCTCTCCGCCGATACCTCAGAGTTTTTAGGGTTTAGGGTTTAGGGTTTAGGGTTGTATAATTTGTCCACCCCACTTGGTCCGACTATCGGTGTCATGTGGGAGGCTCCTGAGCAGAACCTCGCTATGACGAAGCTTTCGCCCAGTACAGGGTTCATAGGGTTTAAGGTCGCGGGCTTAGGTTGTTTTCGATATCTATATCAATATTGTTGCTGGAACTGGTATGAATGTCAATACCAGTGTCAGTGTTAGATTTCAGTTATCACTTCTAACTGGATTGTTTTGTTTGCTTGTGTCGTTTACGTGTATTCCTCTTGCGGTGTTCTGATTCCTTTTATGTTCAGAACGTTCCTGTTTTGTAAAGGTGATCAGTGTCGTTAGACTTGGTTTTCAACACCGAGACCAACACAAGCGCTCATGGCGTCGATGTTGGGTACCCAGAATCATCACAGGTGCTGGTGCTCGATCGCCTTTGCAGAGTTACAGGGGGTGCCAGGGTTTGGGCACTTTCGGGGCAACGACTTTCAGCCTGCGGCCAAGGGGGCTTTAAGGGGCTCTTTATTAATTAGCAGTTTTGTAGCAGAAATTATCATGATACTTGTAAAAGTAAAATACGAATAGCATCAGTAATGTGTTGATTGGAGTACAGGTTGCTGTGGGGCCCCCTCTTCTGTAACAATGCAAACCTAGACCCTAGAGGATTGGTAGCTCCTGCTTCGTCGCGCAAGATGAGCTGGAGAACAGTGACAAACGGAGACAGAAAGTGGTCCAGGGGTCCAGTTGAGCTGTCATGCAGTAGACATGGTATTCTCTGAGCCCTTTCCGAGGTGGTTGAGAACAAGACGGCACAGCGGCCCTGCAACGAAGAGGCGTATGGAAGAGCAGTTTTTTTTTGTTTGTTTCTGTCCGTCTGTTTGTCTGTCTGTCTGTGTGCTCGTCGGGGCTGCATGCTGGCAATGGGGTTCGTGGAAGCTTGATAGGGCAGGGGCGCACTTAGCCCGCCTTCGCAACACAAAATTCAAGCCCACAACAACGGAGCGTTGCGGCAGTGCAGCTTCATAATAGCATCTCCACGATGCGATAAGCTGTGGATTTCCATGCCAAACAGCTCCATCGAGGTCATTTGCGACTCGCAGGCCTGCGAGCTAGGCGACTGGACCAGCTGGAAAGGTTGCGGGCTCGGTTTGCGTCACTAAACCTGACCCCTAAACCCTAAACCCTAAACCCAAAACCTGGGAGAGTTCTAGTGAGGTTCGGGTTGTTAGCTTCGATAGTGAAATGATTTGCATCCGGAAGCCATCAGTTGCAGCTTAGACAAGCTTGGGCCGCATTGGGCAGCAACATTTGGCAATGCTTAACGGCTCATGAAAACTTGGTCAGTAGGGTTATAAGTGAGGTTGTAATTAGGATAGCCCTGCTTAGGGAACTTCTAACACCAGGAAAAGCTGTACTTACTAATTACTAAGTCCGTTGAGCCCTTTAGTGCCACTGGATCATCTTGAGGATGGGCCGAAGCTTCTTTGATTTTGCCGACGGCCGTGCTGGTCGGCTCAAGCATTCTGTTTGCCAAAAGCTTTCCATCAAAATAGGGGCTTAAAGAGTTACCAAACGATTGTGAGGGTTCCTTGTTATGATTATCGTTCAATACACCCCCAAACCCTATTTTAATTCGTAAATGATTAAGACCCCTACATTATGTCCACCATGAGCGCTATGGTGGTCTTCTCCTCGCTGCTGCTCTTAGCGGGCAGTCACCGCATCATCGGAGGAAGAAGAGGTGCCTTTGAAGCGAGCCACACATCAAAGGCACCGTTTAGGCCTTGAGGGTGTTTAGGGCTTAGAGGGTTTAGGGACCGAGTCTTGCATGGGTTCTTTGACCAACCTGTTCGCATCTTACGGGTGGGCCCGCTAAACCGGCCCGCACAACACCCTTGGAGTCTGTTCTTCTTGCAGTGCAACTGAAGTTGACGTTGACGTGCATGCTATCAGATTGTTCGCCGGTGCAGCTGGGCGGGTTGCGGTTTGAATTCGTTCCTGTGGTTGTTTCAGCAACCGGGTCATGCCCGTAGATCTACCCAGTCATATTACACATACATATATATATATATAGATATTGACTTGAAGTTGAAGGAACGGAGCCTGGTAAGCTGGTTTCCCTGATAGAAAACGGTCGAAGCCTTTTCGAGCTGTTGTTGAAAGTACTTACTCAGGCATCTCCCAGACGAAATCTCGAGCAAGCCTTCTGGCAGCGGGTGAAGCTCCCGAATCCTTGCGTGCCCTGGCAGTCGTAAGCTGTTCTGCTCCTTGGCCCTCCCACCTCTTTCTCCCTCTTTCTCTGCCTCTCTATCTCTCTCTCTTTGTTTGTCTCTCTCCTTGTCCCTGTCTCGTTCTACACTTCGCGACGTCTTTTGAACTGTATACTTCAACAGTTAATACCCCTATTCTTGCTGGTGGAGACTGAGAAGGTTGCGAAGAAGAGCTCCGAATACTCAAGAAGGAGATACAGGAGAGCTGTGAAAAGGACCACGGCAGGGAACCACACGAACATCTTTCGACTTTCTGACATCCGCCTTTCACCCCTAAATCCTACAAATAAGCGGTTGAGGCTTTAAGGCCTAAACCCTGAACCCTACGGAAAAAAAAACCTTCTATATAGGGTTGATTGAGGAATAGGGCTATTCGAAGACCTGCTAGCCCTAAACCCCTAAACCCTATAAACCCTGAACCCTAAACCCTAAACCCCTAAGCCCCGTCGAGGACCAGCGGGATGGCGCGCCGGTCTCCGAGGGAGGCTGCCAAGCGGAGGCTGGAAGAAACATCGAGGGCGCTACTGTTGATGGACAAAATTCTGCATGACCCAAATATAGTATAGTACCATAAATCCCATAGTTTAGGTATATAGGGTCAAGCAGGATTTTGTCCATCAACAGTAGCACTGCTAGGGCTACAGGCTTTCGGGTTTAGGGTTACAATGATGCAGGTTTGGGTGGTTTTGTTTGAGTGTGACTGGACGAAGAGTTTCAGATGTTTTCGCTTGTTGGAAAGAGGCCTTAGCCAAGATTCCAAGATGTATTAATGGTGCTTACTGCAGATCTGCTTGAGCTCCGTGCTGGTATCATTGTCGTCATGTCAGCAAGTCTTAACTGTCAGTGTAGTTACATGGTAGGCGCACCTTCACGTCTGCAAGTGCAAAGATTAGTCAAGGATTGTGTTTGCTGCACATGCGTGGAAAGTTAGGCAGCTAGTGCTAGCACTCAGCTCGTCGCAAGCAGCAGTGCTAGACCTACCAAAACAGCAGTTTCGGGCAATCTACCTGGCATCAAAGAATCCCAGCTGCAAAAGGGTTTCGGTTTTGGGCTTGGGTTTAGAACCCTAAACCCTAAACCCTAAAGGGTTTAGGGTTGTGCAGTGGCCGGCTTGGCAGGCAGAAGCCGTTGTCAGTGATGGCGACTACGAGGTCTGGAGTCAGAGCTTGTTGAAGTGTGGTCCGGCACCTCGCCTCAGTCTTTACTCTGAGGCCCGCCTCGCCTTGTTCTCAGAAACTGTGAGACCCCATGATGTTCAAGACGATGCCTTAATCTGTGGGGGGGGGGGGGTCCATATGGATAGTTCTCTAAATCAGGGTCCCCTTTAGGAACCCAAAAGGAGGCGGCACCCTTATAAAAAGGACTCTAAGAGGGACCCTAATTTAGAGAACTGCACATATAGTAATTTGTGGTCTATTCCTTCCCCGAGCGGTTGCCTTCTCCCGCCTCAAGGAGAAGACGCACCTCCTCCTGTGGAGTGGCTGCTGGGTTCTTGTTAAGGAGTTTGATTTAAGTTACCATAATGGAGATCTATGGTAAATAACCTTATTATAGTACCATAATGGGGATCTATTGTATAGAATACTGTTTCCTTATTATAGGAACTTAATTAAAACCCCTTCACAAGAACCCAGGCTATCAAGATGAAGAGCGTGAAGACGTTCTTCGGCCCCTGCGAGAACAGGGCGGCTGTCTTCTGCAAAGCCAGGACGAGGGCCTGGGATGTTGCTAAGACAGCTACGAAATGTATGGGGCTGGAGTAAGTATCAGAATTATACCACCCCGAAACCCTAACCGAATTGTTCAGGCCACTACACTACCCGGTCACTACCCCCCCCCCCCTCTCCTACATCCTGGCTACTGTGGGCTGCATAGGTCCATTGTATTTTGGCTGAAATCGCTAACTTTCAAGGCTACACGACCCCTTCCGGCTTGCACCCCAGATTTTATCCAGGCTACTCGTCGCGTTGTTCTAAATGATTCAGGCCCCCACATGGGGAGCTGGGTTCAGCCTCTACGCTGCATGTAGGGCTTTGGGTCATCCAAACAAAAATTGCTGTGAGGTTTAGTCTATAGGGATTGCTAGAAGAACCGCGGGGCTACTCTAAACTCGTAAACGTAGGTGAAGGCCCAAGACCTATAAAAGGCGATTGTTCTACATGTTGCTGGGGTCCAGGTAAACCCTAAACTCGGAGAGGAGAAGGCGGACACTCGACTTGGTGCGCTCCTGAACGCTAATGGGGTGAATACCCTGAAGTCTTGCAGCTGGCCGAAGGCACCTCGCCTGGGTTTAGGGTTTAGGGTTTAGGGACTTTCCTGGTAGGAAGGGGTTCCTACGAGGGATCTACACGGCCTGTTTAAGGGTTTAGCTGTGGTTTAGGATGTAGGGTCTGATTGCGGTTTGATAGGGTGTAGGGTTTACTATTACTGCAGCTGGCCATAGGCGGGAACCGGCAACCGTTGAGGTTTGGGGTGTATTATACTTGGACCCTAAGTAGGATTCCTGATCATGGCTTCCATATATAGGTCCTTGAAAATGTAGGCTGTTAGGGGTTAAGCCAGGGTTCATGGTGAGCAATGCTGAACCATATAAACTAGTCGAAAAACACCTAAAGCCTAAACCCTAAACCCTAAACCGTACTATAGTCGAAAAACAGCGCGCAGGGTGTCCGGCCCTCTTGTTGTTACACAGCTCGTGCCCTCATCAACATCTACTTGTGACCCTAGGCACGATATAAACCCCCAAACCTTTAAACCCTAATGAAACCCTAGCCCCGCGTTGAACCTTAAACCATATGAGACCTGAACTTAAACTTTATCCTAAACCCTAGGGCCCCCATAGTAGTTCCTTTTTGGGATTACCTTGTAGGATTCTAAATGTGAACCCCAAAAAGGAACTACTATGGGGCCTATGGGTATATCCTCTACCCTACATGAGACTCTAAGTCCAGGTGCCCAAATAGTATATACTTTGGCCCCAAAGTACCTATCTAGGGACTGCTTTAAGGCCGGGTACATGGACCCTCAGGGTAAGCCATCACGAGGTGAAAGCCTTTTGGGTGGGAGCATCACGGCAGTTCGCCAGCACTTGGGCATCGAGGTCCCCGGATGTCACTGTCGCGATCGGCTACCACATCGAGCAGGGACACTTGGTTTCTGGCGGTGACGCATTTGCGGTTGAGGGATGCATGGTAAGGATGTATGGTTGAGAGGTTTAGGCTTCAGGGATTTAGGGAGTTAGAATTTGAGATAAGCAGGACCCCTATACGGCAAGTTATTGGATCCGAAGGACAATCGCACAAGACCCTCTTCGACACCGTGTTTTACAGAAGCGAGTTGAAGGCTGCTGTTCAAGCTTTTCGTGAGGAGCTGCGTGTGCGCATCTATTACACCCATTCTGCCATGAGACATGCTGACGGGCACGCAGCAACTTCTGTCATTTACGAAAGGGCACGGCTGCTGTCTCCGTTGACAAGCAAGAGGTTTCAAAAGGCAACCACGTGGACGTTCGCCTCCTGCAGCTTCACGTGTGGACCTGTCTCTCTTCTCGATCCCGAGGACAGCGACTTCCTGAATAACCTGGGGTGGATGTACCTAGGAGGCTACGGGGTGGCTCGCAACGTGGACACGGCCTTGAAGAAGATTGAGCTGGCCATGGAAAAGGGGGGCGCGCGAGCCCCCACCAGCCTTGGAAACTTGTACCGAGTTGGGGAAGGCGTCAGGCAAGATCTCCGCAAGGCCAAAGAACTCTATGAGATGGGCACCGAGCGGGGCGACGTTTATGCCCCCAAGAACCTTGGAGACATGTACTACAAAGGCGTGGGTGTGGCACAAGACTTCCAGAAGGCCCGTGAGCTGTACGAGATAGCCATTTCAAGGGGAAGCGCCGCTGCCGGGCACAATCTTGGGCACTTTTACCAGAAAGGACTTGGGGTGGCTCGCGACCTTGACAAAGCTAGGGAGCTTTTTCAGCTGGCCGTTGAACGGGGCAATGCCCTAGCTCCCAACAACCTTGCAAACTTGTACAATGATGGGCTTGGAGTAGCAAAAGACATGCTTAAAGCCAAAGACTTGTACGAGATCGGGGTCCAAAGGGGCGACAAATCTGCAGCAATCAACCTTGGCGACATGTACCAGAACGGCGATGGGGTGGCACAGGACTTCCAGAAAGCCCGCGAGCTTTACGAGATGGCAATTGCAGGAGGCAGTGCCCAAGCCGCCGTGAAACTTGGGCACATGTACCAGAAAGGACATGGTGTGGCTCGCGACTTTGAGAAAGCTAGGGAACTGTTTCAGCTGGCATCGGAAAGAGGCGACGCCGGAGCCGCCAACAACCTTGGAAACATCTACTACAAAGGCCGTGGTGTGGTGCAGGACTTCCTGAAGGCTCGTAAGCTGTACGAGATAGCAAGAACCCGGGGTTGCCCTGAGGCCATCACCAGCCTCGCGTGGCTCTACCACCAGGGCCTTGGCGTTTCCCAGGATGTCGAGAAAGCCCGGGAACTCTACGAAGAGGCTGCTGGCCACGGAGACATTGACGGAATGTTTTACTTGGCTCTTTTGTACAAGAACGACCTGAGCTCAGCGAAGTTGGCATGTCACTGGATGGCCAAGGCGAAAGAAGCCGGAGATCAGCAGGCTGCCAGTAAGCTGGCGGAATGGCACTGCTGAGGGTCCGCTGCAGGCTGCTTGTCTGCATTCGGTTCATGTCATTCTTATAATCATCTTTAATGCTCGCCATGACTCTGATGGTTAATGCTGCCACTCATTGTGATAATCACTATAGTCACTACAGCTGTTAAACGTGACTATACGGTTTTACAATGCTCACTCCTATCAATATTGCTGTGCTTGTTGTTGTGGTTGTTGCGGGCTGTACCAAAAGCCTAAACACTCAACCCTAAGAGGAGTGCCACTAGTACCCCCGCCGCCTTCCTGCACTTTCGGTCTTTCCCCTTTGAGCCCAGTGGCTGGAATTTATAGGGCCCATTACCAGGAACCTGCTATACATTGACGTATGACTGGGCTTCTAGGATCGGATAGGTAAGGTGTTCGGATGCGGGAACGTCTCCCGAAGATTCACTTGAAGAACACTGCGCGTGCGTCCTAATTACTGCTTGCTGCGGACGGGCATGTTCAGTGATCGCTGCATGGAGCTGCATGGACTTGTTTGTCATCTGAGGTCCGGCATTCAAGTCTACTGTCTACGTCAACTGAGGAATGATGCGAAGGATCATCACAGCGGTACTCCTGCCGTGCTTGTCCGCATCATGCCGTACCATCGTGCTAGCTCAGTCCTGGCCAATGCGTAGCATTCGAAGACTCCCTCCAAGCCTCAGACCCCGGCTAGCTACGGCTAGTTGGGATCGGCCATTTGCAAGGCAAGAAGTTTAGAGCTGACTGATGCTTCATCGGTGAAAAAGTCGCAGCCACTGTGCGAGATGTAGCAGGGCCAAAATGACTTGTAGCAGCTTCCACGGCCTAAACCCTGAACAACTGATCTGCATGTTCTAGAGCTCACGAAACGAGTTGACCTGCCTGACCAGATGCTTTTCTCCAAGATGGCACGGAGGTCACCATGGACATGCGCGAAGTTTCGGCAACCCTATAAACGCCAAAAGCCCTAAACCCCGGACTACACCAAGAGTCACAGATTGCTCCCACAGACTTGTCATATCCGACAACTCGAAGCCGTCAAAACAACAACTCTGCGACTCTTAGCCAGAACAAGGTTGTCTCCACAACAAGCCCCTGAGAGCCTTCATAGTTCGTACAAACCCTTACGGCCTTACAATAGGGCCCCAATTACCTGGGTCCTTGTTGGCTACAACTTTGCATTTTTGTTATCATCAGCCCCAGCAAGGATTCAACATGAGAATTTTCAATATAGCCCCAGCAGGGAACCAGTTACGAGGATATCCGCACCTTATTGGGCTTCAGTACAATTATATGCGATATCCCTATGCTAACTGTTGCTTATGTGCTTTCTTTGCTGGCACTATACAACGCCTTTGCGCAACCCGTGTGAAGCCCCCACTCCGAGGCTGCGACGGAGACATGTCGTGCGGCTGCTTGGCGGTCTGAAGCCCGACCTGAACCCCAAATAACCTACCTTTTAAGAAAGAAACCATAAGCAGGAACCCTCAAAAGGGTAGGTTCTTTGGGGTCCATGTAAGCCCTAATTATTACAGTGTTATTACAGTCCCCAAAAGTGAACTATCATAGAATTGATCTCTACACGGCCTAAGCCCGAAAACGCCTGAACAGAAATACATTTCAAACCCTAAGCCCTAAGCCTAAAGTTGATCCTTAAGCCCTAAACCTAAAACTGCCTGAAAAGAGATACTTCTAATCCTTATAAGCCCTAAACCCTAAAAAGGACTTAATTATCATGCAGTTGGTCCTGAAGCTCCAAACGAAAAATGGCCCAAAAGAAATGCCTCTAGACCCTACCCCCTGAACCCTTGAAAGGCAACCTGTAGTAAAGCATCCTTTGCAAAAAGAGACCAAGGCCAGGGAGCTAGCTCTTCCCGTTTCCGTCGCCTGCTGCTCCCGCCAGGACCGCGCTCCTGCAGTGTGCTTTGCTTCTCTCTAGCTGTTGGAGACAAGTAATAAGTGTGTTGTATATATATATATGCACATGTGTACGTACATACATATATATATATATATACATATATATATATACATATATGTATATGTATATATATATATATATTTATTTATGTATATCTACATACTTTTATGTATGCAGGCAAACCAGTGTATGTGTGTGTGCAGATGACGCAGATTCGATCGCTGGATGGGTAGTTACAGATAGCGAAAGTTCGATGCAGAGAGATGAGACAGCGAGAGAGAGATAGATAGATAGATAGATAGATAGATAGATAGATAGATAGAGATGATGGGAGACAGATGCGGACACATATAGGGCTTAAAGGAGCTGTTTATGCAGTCTAGGGACTTCGCGTTAAAAGCGCCTTTGAGAGTCGTCCTACTTTAGGGGTCGTTACTTATTGAGCAAGCACCTGGTAGGGTTTAGGCTTTAGGGTTTAGGCTTTAGGGTTTAGTGTGTAGGCTTTAGGGTTTAGGCTTTAGGGTTTAAGGTGGCGATTTGCTTGAAGACCGCCGAACGTTGCGCGAACCACTGCCCACCATTCAAAGTTTTTGCATTCAATCCTTCAGCTCTGTGCTGTCCATACCTTCGGTTGACGGTCTCCGAGCTGCCATCCCCAAACATGTCAAATCCTCTAAGCCATCAGCACCCTGCGAGAGGTCACGTACGTGGGATGTCAGCAGATCGAGACTTACAAAGCACGAACGCTTAATCACTGATATTGTAAAGCTGCAGCGCACTACAACCTTGAAGCTGTCAATTCCTCGCCCACCCATGAATTTCCTACATCAACTCATCCCGAAACGAGGAACCTTGTATACAAGCCCCACAACACTTTTTCACACATCTCCGTGCAAGACTCTCACAGGAATCTCTGTAGGTCCCCATACAACTTCTTAAACGCTTGTGCAGCACCTGACAGGTATATCTAACCCGCACGGTTTAGGGTGTAGGGTTTCTCCAACCACTCCACAACTCCTGACATATGGCATTCACTCACGTTATATCCTGATAGAACTCCTTGAAAAATCTACGACTTGAACGCCTGGAGAAATGTACAACTTGTCAGTTAAGTTTGGGGGATTGGAGCTCATGGAAAAACCCCATGGATCCCGAATGAAGCACTATATAACGCGTATAGACCGTGTAATTTTCTCTATGAGAAAACTTTGTTTTCGCCACTACACAATAAGCCCCAAGCCCGACAACCGTGGTTATAGAACTTCGGTTCTAGGGTTTAGGGTTTAGGGTTTAGGGATTGACATGAAAGCCCCTGTCTACCTTTGCTGCCCCGCACAGGGCCGACGGCTCCCGACTGCCCAAGCCTCGTGGAACGCCGCTCTTGCGAGCGGCGGCGGCCATGCCCAGAAGAGTGCCAGAAGGCCTGGCAGGAAGGTATCCCTTCCGACGCCAAACATTTAAAAATTCACCGTGGCCTAGATTAGAGATTCACATCTCGTGGCTTTGGGTGTTTGCTACAAAACCTACCTTGCCACACTGGCGAAAGGGTCCAAGGGGTATAAGTAGAAATGAGGTTCGCCAAACCCTGAACCCCAAATCCCAAACCGGGGATTGTACGATCGTTAGTCGACCTTTGGGGTTAGCCCGTGGCCGAACAGGTCGCCAAACCCTAGGTTTAGGGTTTAGAGTTTATAGAAAGACCCTATGTTACGGGCTCTTGGCTACTGTTTTTGGTTGTTCTTTCATTTCGTTTTGCCTTTTTCAGGGCGCTGATCTTCGCCATCGTAGACACAGCACGGAAGCAGCACAAACTAAGCCTTTACATCGGAACCCCAAGGCTTCAAGGCAATCAAAGACGACAAAAACTTAAACCTTAAACCACAGGCCCTAAAGCCTTGAAGGGTTTAGGGTTTATAGGGTTTGGGGTTCATCAAGTTCGGTTTCGAAAAAGGGTTGTAAGCCTGCAGCAAAAAAAGGGAATTTCAGCCTACACTGCACCCCAAACTTGAAACTCTGAACCCTGAAACGGGCTGACTTCAGGCCCAGACGTGGGCAGGCATGGTCCAGGAGGGTTCGGCTCGTCTCAGCAAGCTTGCCTCTCAAACCCCCGAGCCCCTAGACCCGAAACCAAAACCGAAGACCTTACACTTCAACCTGCCCCCCCCCAAATCCTGAACTATATATATATATATATATATTACATATGCCTTATTTCTATCTATACTTGTTTTCATACTCATACCGTCCAAACCCCTACCGAAGGTGTTAGGGCATTGGGCCGAGTGGTCGAGCTGCTCGGCACCTGGGCTCTCTTAGGGTTTCGGGTTCAAGTTGAGGAGTTTATCTAAGGACTTTAGGAGGGACCCCTAATAAGGACCCTTAATCCCATTACCTTAAATAACCATTGTATAGTCCTTATAAACCCCTAGGTTTCCCGGGTTTAAGTTGAGCAGTGCTGCTTCCCAGCTGATTGGCAGAGTCTGGGTTCAAAAAAAAGTTTAGGAGTTTAACGTTTTGCCTGGCTCAAGGTTGCGAGGCATGGGAAGTAAGGGCAGCAGTCGAGTCCCTTGTGAAAAAAAGTGGGGTGTTAAACCCACCAAGCCGGCAAGCAGTAGGTTCCGGATCTACGGGGCAAGGTTTGCATTTTGCGGGTCTGCGAACACATACCCTGATGCACTGGGTGAGGGCCCCAGGGTGTTCTGTTTTGCCGGCTTTTGGCTTAAAACGTGAAACCGAAGAGTTGTGCACTTAGATGTTATCGTCTTAGTTTTGGAATCACTTGTTCTCAGGCTGTGTTCGAGCTTTGCGAAACTGCATTTCAGTTCAGAGCAGTTCCTCCACTGTTTGCGCCATGTCGATACAGATAGTGCAGTATGTTGCTACAAGCTCGAGGACCACCTTTATTCCTCAAAGGGCCTATATGGCTCATACGCCACATCGTGGTTACACTGGTATCACTAGTATCTATATAAATGCACAGCCATATATCTTCAGGGGTTATTTGGCCGAGAAGGATCTGACCAAGCCAGCACCGAGCAAACGAAGATGCTCGTTCTCGTGGCAGGTCCACGTGGCCTTACACACTGTAAGCCCTCAACCCCTAGAATGCCGCACAAGGTTAAGGCACCCTATTGAACTTAATGAACCATTACAAACCATCGTAAATCGCCTTACCAAGCCTTTCACAGCCTTCTTCAAACTCTGTAAACTCCTACACACCCTTGTAAATCCTGAAAGCGCTTAGAGGCCATGTGCGACATCGGTGAGCGATGGCGGATCCGGGAAACGCCGCCCGCAACTCCGGCGATCCTTCAGGCGCGGTGCCGCGCCTTTGCCCAGGACCACGGGGATGAACACAAGAACACAAGGAGGTACATTGAGAGATTGATATAAGGTTTAGGCTTCAGGGAAGTTTAGGGATGATAGAAACTTGAACGGAATGTTGCGGAAGTTGGCTCCCTCTCTCTCGCTCTCTCTCTCTCTCTCTCTATATATATATATATAGATACACACATAGATATAGAATCGAGTACGCTTCGATCTTTCAACAGATGTGCCCGGCCTTTGTCGCCGCCAGAATGCGTTCAACCACTCCTCAGGATTTGTCTTACTGCGAGCCGGACGCAGGCATCTGTCCCTGCGAGCACTTCGCAGGAAGCAACTAAGTCCGAAAGTAGCTCCCTTTTACCTTTTTTTCTGGGTCTAACCATTAATTATATTTAGTGAGTTAATTATTTTCAATGCGTCCAACGGTCAAAACTGAACAGAGAACAAGCTGAGCCTTCTGGTTTTTAGGGGCCTGCTGATCAAACCTTTGGACACCCAATACAACTCCGATACATCGGATCTGGGCCCTGCAACTTCCTTACTGATGCCTTAGATATAGGGGCCTTAATTTGGGGTTTAGGGTTTAGGGTTATAATACTCAACTATACGATTGTTTTTTTTTGGAAGAGGGGGGGGCGCGCGGGGTCCTTATTATAGTTATAGTATCATATAACCCAAAACCCTGTTCTGACTATTAGGCCCCTATATTATCCGCCTTGGAAAACTTAGGTAAGCCCTGCACCGCGCGGGCGGCTCCTAGCAACAGGAGCAGAACCTCGCAACACGCACTGGTGCAGGAGATGTCTCTCATCGGCAACCGACCTATTACCATATAGGGAATCTGGGGCTTTAGGGTTCTGTAAGGAATCCTTCTGGGCTTCTCTCGGAATACGGATTCACTGGATACGTCATGCCTCAGGCCTCACGAGCTTTGGAAACGAATTCTTCGGCTTTTGTGCCAGTGTCTCTTACGAGGTCGCGTCTTATGCAGATGCAGAAACACCAGCAATCAAGAAATCCAGCATGCAGCTTACAGCTTGGACGATCGGCAAATGAGAAGGAACTAAATGGCACATCTGTGAAGCGAAATACCATTGCCAGCCTGTGGCTTGTTGACGTATAGTTATAGTTGTACAGGGTTCAGAGGTTTTGGAGTTTGGGTTGAGCAAACGATTGTGGGTGAAGATGGCTGAGGTTGCTAAATCTCCACTGCCCACGGGAGCGTCGGCATCTCATCATTGGTGACGAGCGTCGTCGTGACGAGGCTCCACGGGATTTAGATCGCTTGGTAATCACACATTATATTATACCTGGGGTTTCCTTACCATAAGTATACTACAATGTGCCCCACAGCCCTATTCGAGTGTGTTCAAGCCTCTGTATTAGATCGCTTGAGAAGTGTGGGTTTGGCTTGGTTTACAGGTCCGATCCAGGTTTCAGGATTTAGGGTTTAGGGTTTAGTCCACCAGAGAGAGAGAGAGAGAGAGAGAGAGAGAGAGAGAGGGTTTAGGGTTGTTGATCAGTTTTTGCAGTCTGGGGTAGCCGAGTGGCACGAGTCCACAGCACAGTCGGCGCCTCGGTTCCTGGCATCTGCACAGCTTTGGTGCAAAAAGGGTTTAGGGATCGGCTTCGGTTCGGGGGTTTGGAGTGTTTTGGACTCAGGATTCTGTGAGCTGCGACGTGTTCTGTGGCTACCCAGCACTATGGTTTGGGATCGTGAAACAATAAAACCGCAAGCTGACAGAAGCCAGGAGCAGCCTTGGAGACTATGGGCCTATGCCGGTGTCTTCTCACCCCAACTTCGAGTATTTACGATAATTAACCCTAAACCCTTAATTGGGAGTTTCCGAAAATAAGGGGTACCTTATTTTGGGGTCCTTATAGTAAGGATCCTACTATTTAGGGTACTATATTAGGGTCCCTTATTTTCGGAAACCCACAATTAACCCTAAACCCTAAGCTCTAAACCTTAAACCGTATTTGCAGCAGGTGCTGCAGGCGCTTTCCACCAATGCTGCAGGCAGCCTGGTCCTCTCCAGAGTCTTCACTGAAGGGAGCCGTTCAGTAGGGCTTAGGGTTTAGGGTTGAAGGATGCTTAGGGCAAGCCCTAGACCCAGCAGCAACAAGCGTTAAGGGTTTGCCGCAGAATAGCGCACGTGTGAAAGCAGCTTGCGAGAGTGTAATTAAACCCTAAACCCCAAACCCTAAACCCTAAACCCTAAACCGTAGTATGACCCTTGGCCGCTGGAGCCGGGCTTTCTTCGCAGGGGAGGCCCCAATTGGGTGGACAAGACCAGCAAGTTGGCCGAGAGTCACCTGCCCTAAGGCCCTAAGCCCTAAACCCCTAAACCCTAAACTCTAAACCCTAAACCCTAACCCCAATGCCTTGAGTTCTTCTACTGAGCGGTCCCCTTCTGGAGTACGCCTCAAAGGACCCGGGTGCAACCCCCATGTGGGGGAGGTGCGGCTAGGATGCCAGCGATGAGGGAGTGGAGGGCGTTTGTGTGCATAGGCGCATCAGCTTTATTCTCACCGACAGGCTGCTAGCTCACAGGCTTTCGTAGACGTAGAGTAGGTAACTTTTGACATGTCGGAGGTACGTACTACAATCCGGAGATAACCCAAAAGGTTTTCCTTTAGGAAAAGGTTACGATAGTCCCTATATAAGCCAAGAGGTTCACCTTTGCTTCCCCTAGGATACTGTACAGATAAGCCTTGCTCTCGATGGCTGCGAAGTTTCATGATTTGCCCTTTCATTTCATGGCTCAGTCCTTGAAAGGCTTGGTCCTGCAGCCAGGGCCCTATAAAACCTTATAAGAACGGAGCCTTAGACCCTAACCTAAACCCTACTCTAAAGCCTATAGCCGAAGCCCTAAACCCTAAACCCTATAAAGCCCAAGGACACCTGCCCATCATGCCAGCGAGCGTCGCTGGCTGGGAGTTGCTCTCCGTGGTCAACGAAAGCCGCAGAAAAGACCTCGTAGCGCGCCTCAAAAGCGCAGCCTCTTGGCCTCGAGCAGGTTCTTAGGGGTTACCTGGGACTCTAATTACCTACAGTTTTATGGGTTCTACATACTAGTTAGGGGGGTAATGGCTGCTAAACTACAGGTAAAGAGAGTTACAGGTCTGGAGTTGTAGGTTTTCGGGGTATGTCAAGTTTAGGGTCTAGCGTTGAGGGTTCTAGGGTTCGGTTTGTTTGTCGCAGTGGATGGTCCGGACTTTGAAAATCGATGCAACTAGCTTTTTCGAGGCGGCGTGGATTCGATATGTCTACCTAGACCCTGAGTGGTAGTACCTCTCTTCGGAAAATTTCCCGTGGGGCGAGGAGCTTGTAGGGAAAGCCAAACAAGGTACACGACAGTTCATGATCTGGGTATAGGCGCAATAGCGCCACAAGGCGCTCAATCTCAAAGCCCTGAGTTGTCAAATTAGCACATGGGTTGAACCCGAGAAGCTTAAGCTTTGTGATAAGTCCGATGCCCTATAAACCCTAAACACAGGGAGTGCATGTCGCACTTAAAAAAACCCTAAACCCTAAACCCTAAACCCTAAAACCCTAAACCCTAAACCCTAAACCCTAAACCGCCATGCGAGAGGGAAACCCTAAACCGTTTCCGAGGACCAGTTCCCGATCGAGGCCACGTTCGAAGGAGATGGGGGCGACCTGGAGCGCCTGAGGTCTTGCTTGTCTGCTTGGCTGCCTGTCAGAATCGGTCCGGGTCCCTTTCAAAAGGGGATTATGGGTTTAGGGGTTTAGGGTTTAGGGTTTAGGAGTTTAGGGTTTAGGGTTTAGGGTTCCCTTTCTTAAGGGGGATTATAGAGTTCTACTATTCTACTGCAGGGTCCCCTTTTTGAAGGGTGTTATGGGGTTCTACTTGTCTGCTGCAGGTCTCCTTTTTAAAGGGAATTATGGGGTTCGGGTTAGTGTTTCGGTGTTCAGGGGGGATTCAGGGCGAGCGCTTGGTAGGTCAGGGTCCCTACAGATTTTTTCTCAACGTGGGTTTAGGGTTTAGGGTTGTGATATCAGCGACTCGCTGTCAAGTCTTCTTGTTTGCAAAGAACCCTAAACCGGCGCCACATGCCTCGCCTGGATTGTCCGAGTGTGAGCGCCGAAACCGGCACTGTGCAGCGTCGGGGAGGCTAGGTTGTTGGCCTGAAGCCCGCTGATGGATCTGCAGCTGTGCAAAACATCAACTTTCCGTGCAAAGGTTCGCCAGCCACCTTCATCTGCCTCCTGGCCAGCTGAACTTGACCTCGCCCCATGTCCCTCAAGACTTCGACCGCAGCCTCTCGGATGGCAGCCGTCAGCTTTCTGAATACGGCCGAGTCGGAACAAAACCCAGGAAAGGGCCGCGTGCTCCACTACGGGGGGTATGACGTGAATTTGTGTCAGGGTATCGAAGCCTCTTTCTTAACACGATACTGGCGGCTCCCCAAGTAAGGAAGCGTGTGACCGAGAACACGGGACAGATGCCCTTAGTTTGCGAAACACTCTCCGGAGCCAACCCCGCTTGAAAGGCAAAGACATACCCTAAACCCTAAACCCTAAACACACATAAGATTAGCATGCAACAAACTGTTGCTAGGATCTTTAGTTTAAGTCGGTTCCAACCCACGAGCTGGGAGCCTGGCCGGCAACACCACAAGAGAAGCAAAAAAGACAGGCAGCACACGAGGTGGAAGCCAACGGCTGTTGAGCCGAAGCCAATTCGCCACACCCTTGTAAGCCCCGAAACCCCAGGGTTGTGGGGTATAGTATACCATAATCACAATAAGGAACCCCCAAAATAGTATTGGTAATTATCTGGGCCCGTATATTATAAGACAGGCCTGCGACTTGGACTGCGTCTGCATATCCCATGCGCAGCTCAACACGCTGATAGGGAGGAGCCTTCCTGCGGCAGGCAGGGTCGGGGTGCAATAGAGGGCCTACATGTGGCTAGTTCTCTAAATTAGGGTCCGTGTTTAGGTCCCAAATATAGTACGCCACCCTTATAAAAAGGACCCCCCCCCCAAAAAAAGGGACCTCAATTTAGAGAGCTACCCATGTGAATACTGACTCATACTATGCCTTGGGATTCCTTATTCTACTTGTAGGATACCTTATACCGCTATAACCCTAAACCCTAAGGCATGTTCTGCTTCTTAAGGCCCCCATGTTCGTCAATTCGCAGCACAGTGGCTTGAGTTGGGCTAGTTTGCCTTCGGCTGGCTGGCATCGCTTTGATTGGATGGCTTCAGGAGCAAAGTCTTCAATCACCAATGCCAGCACTTCTCTGCCAATCCTAACTACATAAGCCGTTTCAACGAAACACGCTGCATCTCGGTACCAACCATGCTCACTTGAAGCGCTGCCCTAACCCCAAAGACCTTCTTTCAGGAGCTTTAACTGGTATTCACTTGAAGACAGAACTCGTAAATTCTCCGAAAGATGTAGGTTTCGCAGGCTCCGGGTTGACCCTGAACCCTAAACCCTGAACCCTGAACTCCAAACCCTAAACCCTAAACCCTAAACCTTGAACCCTGAACCCTGAACCCTAGACCCTTAAACCCTGAACCACAGGCTCCACCGAGCCTGGCGTAGAATCCCGCTGCCCTCCACCGCTGCGCGGCGGTGCATCCGCCATGCAGAGTCTTGGCCTGCAGAACGGTACATGGACCCTGAAGAACCTCACCTTTTTGGGGTTCCCTGTTTTGATTTCCTTAATCAGGTCCTTTAAAAGGGAATGTTATTCGGGTTTATAAAGGGTACCGCTAGACACCTGAATCCATGACTACTCACCGGGGTTTGGGCAGGTTTATCATACTAAATCGTTTGGGAGCCCTCATGGATATTATCCCATAGTCACCTTAAGCAACCCTTGCAGCGGCCCATATAGCAACACCTCATAGTATGTCTGTTGGGTGGAAACTTAAACCCTTCTTATAACTCTGTTGCATTGTAACTTTGCCCTTAAACCCTAAACCCTAAACCCCACTTTGTGGAGGCCCGGCCCCCCAAAAAATGTACACATGTCAAACAAGGCCCAGTTTCCGACACCGTAAAAAAAAAAACCGAGACCACAAGCACCCTTCATGCCCTCACGGGCAAAGCCCGAAGCTTTATATGCGAGACCTTAGGGACAACAGACTTACAGGGTCATGCCCGAAGGTCTACCTCTTGAAGCTTTCAACCCTTCAACCTGAAACTCTGTCACCTTAAAACCCGAAAACACCAAGCAGAAACAAAGAACACCCAAAAACCTTACGCCCCTAAAAACGTTCAAACTCTAAAGCCCAAACTTTCTAACTCTCCAAAGCCCTTCAACTTTAAAACTCTAAAGACTCTAAAGCCCTAAGTTTCTAAAGCCCCACAGCTCTTCAGCCCTTTTCACCTCCTGAGCCCGGGCCCTGAGGACTTCACGGCGGGTGCCTTGATCTGGGCGGGCAAGGTCGAAAAAGATCTGCCGGTCAGCGGCTTCGGGTTTAGAGTTTAAGGTTTAGGGCGTAAGTTTAGGGTTTCTAGGGCTTGGGGCTTAAGGTTCAAATTTGACGTTTAGGGTTTAGAGTTTACTCCTAATTAAGCCCTGTGATGAGTCTTTCGCAACTGCTTACGCTGCAACTCTCGGGTTGACTTCATGTCCAACCGTTCGTGGCTTCGTGTTTTTGTTTCTGCAGTTTTGGGTCGGGCGTGTAGGCTGCGCCACAGTCTGGTGAATCTGATGTGGGGTGGCTGCTGAAGTTATACAATAACACCAAATAACCTACGTTTTTTTAAGGACGTATATAAAGAAACCATAATAAGGAACCCTAAAAGGGTATGTTCTTTGGGGTCCAGGTAAGGGTTAAGTGTTCAGGGGGAGTCCTAGATTTTCAGGAGTTCTCGTGTCCAAGGCTTGAGGCTGTCTTTGAATGCTAAGGATTGAACCGAAATCCTAACCCCACACCCTTAAGCCCTACACCCTGAAAAGAAAGGCGTCGACGAAGCGGGTGGCAAAAGAGAGGGGACATTTTCTCCTCGCACTTTTGACACCCTTTGTAGGCTTTTACATGTATGGAGGTGTATAGGAACCTTAGAGGTTGTCTTGGGTACAGTTTGCAAAGTATAAACTGCATGACCCCTAAACCTTCTTGCAAACTTGTCGGGGCACTTGATCCGAAAAGAAAGGTCAGAGATACACCTCGGCCGTATCTTCATGCCATCAGCTCGCAACATGTGCTGCGAGAGGAGAAAACCGAATCGCGTGGCCGCGGCCCCGGCTTTTAGCAAGCTTCATACTCTCGTCAGGGGCTTCGGTCCAGTTCCCAGCAGTGCACGGAAGAACAAGCCTAGATGGACCAAGCCACTACCACCACCACAAGAGCTACAGCTGTTGCAACTAACCTGCCCCCAAAATCCAAAAGCCCCTGCACACTGACATACGCTGACTTCCCTAGACCCTCTAAATGTCAGGAAGGCTTCTAGAACATAGTCCGGGCTGGATACTGAAGCATCAGCACTTGCAAGGCCCACTAGTGTTTAGGCTTCAGGGTCGCTAGTGAAGCCTCAAGCTGTGGGTTGGCTGCGATCTTGTTGTTCAGCTTACAACTTGATGTCGAGCCTTGGCCTTCATCGTATTCGAAAGTAGGTCACGTTCCGTACGTTGAGGGTTTCTGTCACATCGAGGCGCTTTGCCGCGGCGAAGGCTACTTCTCGCGATTTGGGTATCGAGAGGGGTCATGTACCCATGCAGCATACAAGCACTTCATCCTTAAAGTTGCTTTAATATGGGGGCCTTAATAATTAGAATAGGGTTTGGGGGTATATCATATTATAAGAATAATATGGAACCCCCAACACCCTATTCCAATTATTACAGTATAGGAAACCCCGGATGATTACCGTCGTTCCTCTCGATCTTTGGGTTTATCTCTGGTTATCCGTGCCGCAAGATTTCCTGAAAGCCCAGCCACCTAATCATATGGGTATGTACTACAAGGCTTAGATAGGGTTGAAGGCTTCAATAGGCTTAAGAGAGCGGCCCGCGATATAGGCGTAAACCCTAAACCCAAAACCGTGGCAACTGGGCTCTTCTGGTTTACCGAAAGCTCGGAGTGCCGACATAAGCTTGTAGGGATCTTCGTAGAGTTTAGAGTTTAGGGTTTAGGGTAGATTTGCAAAAAGAGCTGGTTGCAGGGCACTGGTTGAGCTTCCAAAGCTCTAGAAAGGGGTCGCGTCGAAAGGATGCGGGCTTCATTAGTCTCTCACAAAAATCTTGTCCAACCCTTGAAAGAACTGCACTGTCTCAGTAACATCTGCTTCTCGAAAGTGAGAGCGCGAGCCTAATTGGGCGAATTGCAAGGCTGACTGTTGCAAGCCCGTAGCCATTGCAACGGTGATACCTAACTGTCGGCATAAGTGTCTCCAGCATCTTTGCTTTCAGCTAAGACCGGATCTCCTCAAGCAAACCTCCCCATTACTCCAAGCTTCAGCTCCCTACCCTAAAGAAGGCCCTGTGCACCGCTTCTAGGAAAGTTGGCCCTATTTGGAGGGCTATTATAGGGCTATTTCAGTGAACGGCCTTCTACCCTAGCAACCATAAACAAAACACTTGCTACACAATCAAAAAGGCAAGACCCCAAGCACTAAAGCCTCAAACTCTCAACCTCCTAAACCCTAAACCCTAAACCCTAAACCCTAAAACTCTCAACCCTGAAGACTTTGCTGTTACAGGCGCGGCCGAAGCCCGCCCGCAGAGGCTACGGGTTCTCCACACGAGGAGCACTGGAGAAATCTGTTGCAGACCCTACCTGGGAGGATTGTTATACGCAGGAGTACATGGTTCCGGGGTTCCCAAAATCAGGGATCCCTGTGTTGCAGTGAGTTGTTTGTGGTTGTTTTATCAGTTGAGGCGTGCACGTTAGAACGTATCCTGTTGCGTGTGTTTGTATCTGTGTGTGACATGTATCCCAAAACTCGAAAAATAGTACGTCATCTCCCCTGAGTCATAGTGCCTATAATAGTCCCTAACCTACGATGAGCACTTGCAGACAAATCAGGTTCTCAAACCATGCACGGCCCTCGAATTCCTTCTACATAGCCCTTTGGCTTGCGTCCCCATCTCTATCAGTCCTCCTAACCCTACCTGGGCCCTCGTACATAAGCGAATCATAATCAGGACTAAACCCTAAACCCCTAAACCCTAAACCCTTTTAGGCTTGTCCCAGTTGTGAGTGCTGAAACCCTTAGGTTCTTTAGGTTCCAGGTATAACTTGTAGGCCCGACGAGCCCTAGCATCCCAACAGGCCGGGGCAAGCCTTATTAGGGTTAAGGGGTTTAGGGTTTAGGTTTTAGGGGTTCAGGGTCTAGGGAATTTGCGTTTAGGGGTTTAGAGGTTTTGGGGTTTAGGGGTTTAGGGGTTTAAGGTGTTCGGTTTAGGGCTTAGGGTTTGGGGTTTAGGGGTTTAGGGGTATAGGGCTTAGGGCCCTGCAAACCCGACGAGCCAAGTCCTTGCAGGAGTCGGCCTCACATGGGCCAAATCCCATGCCTCCTCCACCCGCACCCACCAAGCGCGGGGGCCCTCGGCAGTTAAGGGTTACAGGTTTCATACTATGCAGGCATCGATAAGTGCCCATATACTAGTCCTTCGCTAGAGGATTCCTTATGATTCTTTCATTTTTAGATTATACCTCAACACCCTATTCCAATTGCTAATTAAGGCTCTTATATTGGAGCAAATCAGAGGTTGTTACAAGGGCTATTGGACGGTTTAGGAACAGTTTTGAAAGGAGGTTGCGGTTGGGGGCCCGGCTTCTATAGTAAGTAGGGTTGAGGGATTCAGGGGGACCCATAGGGTGTTGCAAAAGGGGGCTGAGGGGCTTGAAGATCAAAGCGTCATGGTTCCGGTGAGGTGGGGCTGCCGGTAATTTCATCCTTTTTCAGAATTTACAGAAAGCGCCTATGTTTCATGGATTGCTTCCTGTGCCCGGTATGACAGCGTATGATCATAACCGCGTTGCTTCCTGTCATGTGTGCCTCCTTTGCCTTCGACAGCACAGCGCACAACCCTAAGGGTGTTTGATCTGTGGAATGTTGGATGTTGGATATGGCTAATCTCATATGCCCGAAGTTCCACTGCCTCAACGAATAAAGGGTTTCTGTGGTACAATTGGGATACCTGTTAATGTCCTGTATGGTCTTCATTGTAGAAATACTTCATCACAGGGGTGCCTGAGCTACAACACAGACAGCACAATCAGTACAACCCAGACTACTAGTGTTCCAATTTCGAAGCTTGTTGTAGTCGAATACAGCGCGGAAGGAGGTTTACACAGAAAGAGTGTGTTGCTCATGTAGGGTCTCAGACATAAGCTGCTATACTTGTAGTGCCGAGCCCCACAAGACGGACGAAGGCTTCGCCCTTTAAGCACGAGATGTTTGGATCCACAGGAATCCTCCACAGCCAAGAGCCCTTATGTAGGAACCTGTTTATCAAACCCTGTTCCCACAACTCAAAAATTGGGATCCATATAAAGAACCTTAATACAGACCCACGGTTTTCTAATCATTTTCCTGTATGAAGCCCTCCACGGCCAACCGCAGCAAGTTTGGCTAAGCGTGTGGGGTTGCGCCTGATCCGTGGCCATGTGCAAGTGGTGCCGGCCTCGCAGA